ATACCCGCTATCCCGGAAGAGAAATAAAAAATTCGTAGAATCAAAATCGGTCTATCGGCCAAATATCTAGATAGGAGAAACCTCAATGGGCCTATTTTAAGGCTGTAAAGGCTTCTTGGATGGCGACCCATAAAAGCTAGACACGGGAAGGGAGAAACAAGCGCGTGGACATGCCAGCTGCGGGTCGGTAATAATTCGCGCGATACCAAGGTTTCCACGCGCGCGCGCGCGTAACTTCTCCTTTCGGTGCGCGCGCGTCGCTTCCTGTACGAGCGCGCGCCCGCCGCATAAGGTAGTCGTATTTCCTACTAGTTTCTTTTTTCGAACAAATAATATATAATAGGACTCATTTTTGGGAAATTAATTAGTGAGAGTTAGTATTTTCCCAGACTCTTTATTTGGTTCTGAAGTTGCTCGACTGTGTTTTATTTTGAGCAAACACGTGTTTGTGCTAGAACATAAAATCGAAAAGAAGGGGGAAAAAATCATTGATGTGCGATGGCGGTCGATACTCGGCCCACTCCTAATTTGCCGTAGGCTGGGGGACTGGGCTACGGTGTCTTAGTACGTACTACGTAAGGCGGCAGAGCCGAGCAAGCCCAGCCCAGAGCTAGACGCTGCACAACAGCGTCCGTCGTCGATCCAGCGGACAACGGCCAGCCTCGCAAATACGGGAGCTGCAACACAGCGATACGGTACACAGACAAGGCGATGCATCCAGTTCCAACCGACTGCGATGTGCGATCTATCAAAATGGAATCCTCACCGTCCCTTTCCTAGGGTCTAGCGAGCCGCATCCTTCCATTCCACCCAGCTACAGGCTACAGCGTAGTAGCTAACTACTGGTTTTGCCTAACCCGAATACCCGTATCCCTACACTACACCCCGCAACGGCCAATTTGGTCCCGGGTCAAGAGCTGACGTTGGGTGCCACGTCTCATGCCTAGTCAGCACTGAGTTGTCAAGCTTTTTTATTTTTGAGAATTAAACGCAGACGTCCACACGCACGCACGCTCACCCCTATAAACACACGTACGCAAACCCTACCCCTATGAGCACCTCTGAAGGACTGGGCCAGCAGGCTTTTGGTGTGCCTACCGCATCGCGCCCAAGGATGGAAAAGAAATCCATGGTACCGTATCTGAAATCGTTATAGTTGCGATTGTTTTCTAAGATCATGTTTGATTTCCAAGGAATTAGAAAGTAATCTAATAACGAAATAGGAAGCGCTTCCTAAATATTTGTTTCAATTCATGAGATCCAAACAGGACCTAGACATAATTCGTTGTCCACTTGAATGCAGCACCGACATGTTTGGGTGCACAGGAGAGCCTAACCTAGACATAGCTCAACTAATTATGTTGTGTTCTCTATAGAGGAACACGTTCATCTGTGAAAACCACACGACTATACCATCATCATGTACCACAAGTCTCTTCGATAGTTCGATGTGCATAGGCGGCCTTCATGTCGTAGGTGTAACCGGGAGAGGAACCACGGGTGGACCAACGATGAGGCGAGGTGGGCTGAAACACCTCCTACCCACCGCAAGCCCTAAAGCCCCTACTCTAGTCCACGATTCATTTTTGGATACATAGAAGAGAGGCGAAGGGGCTAGAGTTGAAGATGAAGCCCCCTAGTCTGAGTTTGCATCCCCCTCTCGAATAGATGGAAGATATACGCCAACAATAGCTGTCGGTAAAAACCATAACTCCTTTCCATACTGCCTTTCATCTACCTTTTTAAGAAAGAAGCATATTCCCAATACAGAGAATTCAATGAAACCGCCCTTCATAATGGCAATGATGTCTGGACCTACATCTGGGGATCTAACATATTCTCCCCAAAACAGGCATACAAACATCTTAGTGGGCACATGTCTTGTAATGTGATCTTCAAAAAAACTGTGTAAGACCTGCCAAAACAACCACAAGGTATTTTTTTGGCTGTTGTTGAAGGATCAACTGAGTACTAGAGAACTGCTGAAATGAAGAAATATGGAGCTCCCAAGCTACAACTGTGTCTTATGCAATGAAGAAGTTGAAGAATCTGTCTTTCATCTTTTCGTTGGCTGTCAATTTGCAATAAGTTGCTGGGAAACCCTCCAGCTATAGCCAATGTCAAGCTCTGACCCTTTTCAGATCATCGAGCAGTTGTTGGGCCATTTGGAAGTGCAGAAACAACAAAATATTCAATGGTGTGGAAGAATCCCCCAGCAGTGCAAGGCAGTTTTTAAGCATGAATTTGTTCTAATCCTCTAGAGAGCAAAGAAGAAATACTTCCCTGAGATTCATCAACGGATACAAAATTTAGTCTAGCAATCCCAGACTTAGTCCGAGTTTTTTCCGTTCCCTCCTATGCTGCTGTTCCTGAATCTTTTTGTGATCCCTGTGCTCTTTTTACCCTTTTAATTTTAATTAATTCACAGTAGGGGCCTAAGCCCCTCCTGTTTTCTTCAAATAAAAAATAGCTTTTGGTCGGAGAGGCGTGGGATTTTGTTGTAGTACATTTAAGGCCTCTTTGGTTTGAGTCTAGACAAAGTTGTCTCATCCAGACATGAATTCCGGGCATTTAGTTTTAGAGGCCTAGGATTGGGAGCTGCCTGAAAGGCCTGAGCATCTCCAAGTGTTCCGAAAATTTAGTGATGTGGACATAACCACATCATACCATCATAACTTCTTAGTCAAACCTTTTCTTAACGTTGACTATTAATATCTAAAATTTCATATAAACTGACAACAGAAAAATAGTATTACTATGTCCTTTATTGAAAAACGTTACAACATGTAATTGTTTTTAATATAATATATTTGTACGGATATTACTACACGTTAATGTTAGAGTGCACACATTTTATATCGAAGGAAGTGTATGGAATGATTTGGTAGAAGGGTAAAAGCTCACCTACTTTCCTAGACGAGAAGCATCAACACCATTGTAAAGATTGCAGGAGTAGCCGAGTAAAATGCCAAAGGACTGGATCATTCACAGCACAAGAGATGAATTGAGGAAAGGCAACCACCACTTGGCTACACAACTCAGTACATTAGTACTCACTCCGTCTCAAAACAATTACTGCCTCCGTCCCATAATAAATGTACTTCTAGAGTTTTTTTTTCTTAAAATAAGTATACATCTCCATATAAGACAACGTAACTTTATTTGTCTTTTTCTACTTTCTCGCTTCCCAAAGTATAATTATTGCATCTTTCTATAGGTATATTTGTAATTTCTCACTAGCATTACTATCTTCACCAAAGTCTTAGAAGTACGCTTATTTTGGGATAGGACGGAGAGAGTACACATTTTGTTTTCCAAGAAGTTAAATGTTTTAAAATTGTACCATATTTATATATTAATATTTATATCTCCTTATATATCTATATTGTAAAAATCTGTTTCATTACTAATTTAATGATATTTTAATTTATTAAAAATATGAGACGTGCATTTATTTTGCTGGAGGATGAGTGCCCGATCAGCATCCACAGAAATTGGCATCCAGCCAGTCCAACCTGAGCAGGCAGCAGCCCTTTACGCTGCCACTGCCACTTGCCAGCCATGACCCATCCCAAACCATACGAAGAAACAAACACCCAAGAATCCAACCATCGCCAAAAGCAGGAGGACCGGAGGAGCAAGCAGTCCAGCGGACCAATAAACAAGGAACCAGCGGCCTGACGGTGACACTGTATGCTCCAATGGTGATCATCATCATCACTGTCCAGTGATGAATGCTCTGCTGTCTGTAAACTTAAACTCTGTATCTATCATTGCAGCGCGTTGCTGCTGATATAAAGATGCTTGTTGTAAAAAAAAAAAACTTTAATAACTACCCTATCCAGAGAAAGGCAGCGCAGGCGGCCAATGGCCATCCATACACAACGTGCAGTGGTAGTAGTGGTATGTCCTATCGTATTCGTATCGTATCGGCGTCCACCGGGCACCGCTCCCGAAACGGCATCAGAAGCACAGAGACAGAGAGATCGCCAGAAAGAGCAGCCAACCAACCCACCCCCCTGCTCTGGAAGGCCCGGTTTAGGTGGCTAAATTTTAAAAATTAGGCTACTGTAACACTTTTGTTTTTATTTATCAATTAATGTTTAATCATATATTAATTAGGCTCAAAACATTCGTCTCGTAATTTCTAACTAAACTGTGCAATTAATTTTTTTTTCATCTACATTTAATGCTCTATACACGTATCGTAAGATTCGATGTGATGACTGCTGTAACACTTTTTAAGAAAACAAGGCCGAAGTGGCATTGCACCGGTGCTGTGCTGGTGCATGGGCACGGCACTGCCGCACTGGCAGGCCAAAGCCCCACCACGGGCAGGGGAAGGTGACAGCGACATGGCACACACCGTGTATGGGACCGGGGGATCGATCAGTAATCAGAAGCTGTGCCAGAACCCAGAAGTAACAGTGGCACAGTGGCCAGGCCACTGAGCACTGAGCAGCCACTGCGAGCTGAGAGAGAGCAATGGCGCCATCGCGGGCAGGCAAAGGAATAGTTGCTGGATTAGCGAGGAAAAGGCATTGGCTGATAGGCCCGGCCCAGGCTAGCCAATTGGCCTTGGGTTGGCCCCACCACCCACCACTTCTGTTCACAGCAACTCTGTACCAGTACCAAGGCTGGCTGCTCAGTGGTCACTCATCCAGAGTATTGTATCAAAAATCATCGTCATAAATAAATACTCCATCAGTTGGCTACTTGGCCATCAAAACGAACGAATCATGAGCGCCAGAGTTTCGACGATAGATTATTCATATTACCAGGTGGGTGGGGGGAGTGAGTAGTGTGAGTGAGACAGCACACAGCAGCAAGATAGCTGCATCCTGTGTCTCACCAAACCATACTACCCCCCAACCAAGTGGCGACTGTTACCGACCCACACCCACCGGCGGCGGCGCATGGGCAGGGGCAGCCACCCATTCACCGGTCAGCTCAGACGCCGTCTCCACTCTCCTCCAACTCAACAGGACGGTTGGGGTCTGTCAGGCGGTTGGGGGGAAGCGGGGCTGCTGGTAGCCGGAGAACAGCAGCCGGGGGCCACCGGACGGCGGCAGCTGCACGCTGCGGGGCCCTGTGGCCGCGTCCACGCCGGTGGCGGTAGAGAATCCTGATGATGCTGCAGTGGCATGGAGAAATGGGGCAGGGGAGCCCTGCATTTGCCATGCCCAAGCGGGGAACGCCGGCTGGGGATGGGGACCCGCCGGCTCTGCCCGTTTCTCCTCCATAGGCATAGGCGCCTCCTGCAGTAGTTGCCATACATAGGACGAGATGCGTCAGTCAGTCGTGAATCTTTGCTTGGCTCAGTCACAGCCAGCTAAGCTTTATGGTTTACGGTTTTCATCAGCTACCATTAGTTTTATGGTTTTCAATTGTTCTTCCTGCAAAGCTGGGCTGGGCTGGGCAGCAGCTATGTAAGCAGAGCAGGCTCGAGCAGATATACTAGTACTACTGTAGTACTCCCTCCGTCCCATTGAGTTTGTCGTTGGAAAACCGTGCCCCCCTCACAATCCCGCTTCCCGAGCGACAATCTTAACGGGACGGAGGGAGTAGTATATAGGTGAGCATTCATGTAGGAGTAAACCTATAGCATCTTCAGCACTAAAAAGCTGCAGGCGCAACAACAAAGTACCACCACGACATGTAAAATGTTTGACAGCTACTATGGCTCATGCAAAGTTGCAGGAAAACAGAGATTCATTTGATTGAACTGAACTACTATCGACAATGAGCCAAAAAGTATCCACAACTACTCGTATACTGTACACTATTTACAGGCACAAATACATCCCTCAAGAATGCATACTATTTGGAGGAACAAATATGTATGTAGTAGGAGAAAAAACTAAACATCAAGGAAACAACATAAACATATATATTGAGTTATGTTACGGATATCAAAGGTTGCACAAGGAAAATATAAGCAAAGTTCTACATAACTTTAGCAATATTCATGTGCGTGCTTGAAAATTGTCCATTCGAAAGTCAGTGGTAATTATAACTAGACTTGTGATGACAATTGACAGAACACAAGAAGAATGGTGTAAGAGTTACCCTGAGGTTCACAAAGAAGCCTGGACAAGGAGACGCATACAAATGTGGATGCTGGGGTTGCATCGGTGTGCTGTGAGGATGCACAGGCCACTGAGGGCTTATTGGCTACAACAGCAAATAAAAAAGATCCAGTAAGTTCAATACCAGATTTATGAATTCATACCTCAGCTAGCACAATTGGAACCAAAGAAACTGAGCTTTACGACTTGGAAAACTGAGCTTTATGACTTGGAAGTATCTGTCTTAGGCGTTATGCACGTAATAAACGTACCAAATTGCTAGCAGAACTCTTCAAGTTGTAGGTTTTCTTAACAACTTTTTGTGTCTTTTATGAACAGGGCAAAACAGAGAACACATATTCTTTGATTTGGAGTTTAGGTCAAGAATATAATAGGTCCACGGCAAGCTTATGTTTTGCAAGTGTTAAGCAGGGTTGCCAAAATGGCCAAATGTGTACAACAGTTCACATGTAAATACTGAAAACTTATGTTATAGAAGCTACTAAAAAATTTTAGCTAGAAGATACTCATTTAACTGGTATTAACAATTGAGACATTGAAAAGAATAGTATAGGTGTAGCATAAAATTGTAATGTATTTACCTGAGAAGCAATGGAGCTTGAAGCTTCAGGAGAATTACAACTTAATCCAAAACCAGTCAGGGTACCATCACCTTTGAGATCATGCACATTAGGTTGTGAAATCCTCAAATTCAGATCAAGGATGTCCCCATCAACCACTGCTGAGAAAAATTATCCCCAGTAAGATTTGTAGAGGATCGTCTAGTGGACACCAGATAAAACTAAATACAGTATTCCAATTGTACCATCTTTCTCGATTGCAGGTGGAAGTGGGACATCTCCATCATAGGAACTAGAATCAAAATTAGTAACAGCATCCGATCCGTTGAAGCGAATGGCTGCCCTGTCATACGCTCTACAGAGTCAACAAAGAGATCGAAGTGTGTGAGGGTTTTAGTTTTTGGCATCCATAAATATACAAAAAAAATAAAAAAGAAGTGCACAATACTATTAACTGAACCTTGCTGCTTCGATTTCACTGTCAAACAGCCCAAGGTAGATGTACCTGCACATTAATATCATCTCTTAGTAAATTTATAAAGTGATACTTGGTGCTATTAGCCATACTTATACTGCACTTGGATTGCAGTTTTCAATCACTGTATTATTACCAGAATAATCATGATTAGAGAAATGCGGCCTTTAACATAACTTAGAGTTAGCATTGCCACGAGGATGCTGTGCTAAAGAAACCCATTTTTAGTGTCAACAGTTAGGATGAAATGCTAAAGAAAGCATAAACATGCTCCTTACAATACATTACTGTACCACTCATATTTGCCATTTTTTTACCCTACAGCAGCTACAACCATGGAGTGCCTACGTTCCATCTCAATAGTAACTGCCAAGTTCTGTTCACTTCAAGCAGTTCATCCGAACAGAGTTAGGTGCCCCATAACTACACCAGAGCTAGGTGCCTAGGTATCAAGATTACTTACTTCTTTCCCAGAAGCTGACCCACCCGAGCTTCCCACCGACCACACTTGTGTAGTGTCACACCGCGGTACTTTGAGCTCCCCCTGGCAAACCCAGTGCTTTGACGTCGGAGTATGTGAACAAATTCCTCCTTGGTCCAATTCCTCATCTAAGAGTGCACAAACTAACCAATCAGGATGGATCAATCACAACAGCTAAGCACTCAAAACTGAAAAACCCAGCATCACACATCTTCTATGTCATACCTGCTTCAAATCATCCTCATAGTCCTTCAACTGGAAGTTGATGTCGGCGTCAAGGCCTCTGAACTTGATCGCGGAGCGATCATAGGCCCTGCACAATCCAATTCAACAATCGCAGCACATCAACAAGCAAAATTAACTTCCACTGGCAGTCAAATTTGAATGCACCAGTGCTAAGTTCAAACCTTGCTGCGGCTTGTGCAGTATCAAATCCACCTGGAAGGGGAAAAAAAAAAGAAACAACGCCAGCGCAAAAGAATCAAGGCAAGCACACTAAAAGTTAGCAGTAGCTTGAGCAGGGAAACTAGAATTTGGGCTCACCCAGGTAGACCTGCTTCCCACAGTCCCTGCACAATTGGATGATACAAACGAGTGGTTACTAAGTGCAAGCAGCAAGCGCCAATGAGAACAAAACGGATTAAGCGGCTGAGAGATGATGATTGGCTGAGAGCGGTCGTCGAGAGTCGAGAGTGCTCACCAGATGTGTGACTCCCAGCGGCCGGTCCTCCTGTAGAAGGTGACGCCCCTGTACTGCGAGCTCCGTGACCTGGGCCCCCGCCGGCTCTTCTTCCCGGCGGCAGGAGACACAGCCGCGGGCGACGAAGGCGCAGCAGGCACCACCGCCCCCTGTGCCAGCGCCGGCGCCGGCGGCCCGAGATCCGCTGCGTGGCGCGCCCATGCCCCGGCCGCCTCCGACGGCGGCGACCCGTTCGACGCCGTCGAGACGGCGGCGGGAGCTGCAGCAGCGTCCGGGTACGACGGCAAGGGGAAGAGCTGGCGCGTCACGATGGGCGGCGAGGGCGAGCAACCCTCCTCGTCGGGTGTCCCTCCGAGCAGGTCGAACCGGAAGAAGCCCCCGCCCACGACGAGGCTGGAGCTCGAGGTGGCCGAGGCCGACCCGGCCGTCGGCGACTCGGCATTGAGATCCAGCACCATCGACTCCAGCTCGGGCCCGGCAGCAGGCGGTCGAGCTCGCGAGTTGCCTGCCCCGGCCTCCTCCTCTAGCAGTCTAGCAGCTGCTGCAGCAGCAGCGTCGGGGCGCGGCGGCCGTGCGGGAGCGGCAGGCGGCGGGGGCGGTGGCCATGGGGGAGGACACCCCAAGACAAAGGGAACGGCGCGATGGGACGTGAGGGGGGCGAATGGTATCGCAGGCGAAGCCATTTTTGTGCAAAGCTTTTTAAGCAGCTCTCGAGACCCACGCCTTCAGCCGGGGAAGAAATGCTACGCACACGCTGTTTTTTTTTTCACTGTACCTACTTAACAATATAACATGAAGCAGACCCTCACACATTATACGGTAATTTTAGTAGACTTATGAGTGATCATTTTATACTTACCTATATATGAATAAAATGAGAAAAAACACATTCGCGAGTTAAAGTGATACCCCCACGCTCTACCACTTCAACAAAAAAAGATTATCCATGAGGCGTTTGGTTACGTTATGAAACATGCCCCGTTATTTTAGGGACACCTTATGCAATTAGAGATTCAAAAGTGAGGAACGGAGAGCTCATTTGTAAGATAGAGCTACCGTTAGTGTTTTATTGTGAGTCTTTTCAACATTCAAATTGAAAGGTGAGGAACGAAGAGCCCGTTTGTAACGTAGAGCTACCGTTAGCGTTTGGTGGAGGGTCTTTCTTCTTCATCATTATCTGATTACACCTAGATATTACAAGTGCTTCGGTTTATTTTTAAGTAAAGGAAAACATGTTCCGACTTTTGCGTAGCAACTATTTTGATTTATGATAGCCGGAATCGGTTGTCAATAAATTTGAAGTTAGACCTTTAGAGAGCTCGGTACACCTATATAATCTATCCTGGTAAGTATTGCAATTCCATCTTGGTTCTTTCACATTCCATTCTCACATTCATGTCTCTCTTTTCATGTGACCCAGAAGGAAAGAAGACAAAGTTACACAGGATGTTAGAGTGGTGTTGATACATTCATGCCTCACTTTTCATGTAACCCAGAAGGAAAGAAGACATAGCTACAGATGTTAGAGTGGTGTTGATTAGGCAGCAATCCTTCCTCCAACACGCATCGCGCATTTAAACTCATCATAGGTACTCCGTCCTTCGCCCTAGAATATAAGGTATCCTAGGTGTAACACCCTCGGTGTTTGGCTTCTACTAATTGCATTTCGTCTCATAAACATGTGCATCATTTATCTCATCATGTCATTTTCCCTGAAACATACATATGAAACATTCGCATATTCTGTTTGTTTCGTACTAGATTGCTTGTGAATGGTAGTAGTGCAACATATCAATGAAACATGAAATTCCCATGTCTTGAAGCATGGCAACATGGTAGTAATGTGACAAGTATAGGGTAACAACAAGGTCATGCAACATGTGAAACATTGTATTGAAACATATGTATGAATTGCTTGTTTTACTTTCTTTATCACATGTGATCAGTAGAAGTGGTATAACAACTTTGTAAAATGGGTGATCATGGTCTAATACACCTTAACTATACTTAGTTTACTTGTTGGAACATTGTTCATGTAGACCAAAATGACCAAAATGCCCTCAAGTGCAAGTTTGACTTAATTTGACCCATGGAGTGCCCTCGTTTGACTGATTCAAAAGTCCAACTTATAAGCTTTGCATGGCTGTGCACTCTTTACAAAAGTTGTAGCTAATTTATCAAGGAACAAAAGTTGTTTTATGACCAACTCATGAAAATGGCTAGAGCATGCTCAAAAGGGTCCCACAAGTCAGCTTTGAAGGTGGACTCAACACTTGAAATTATTTCTAAGTCCTAAAATGCAATTTCAGTTGGATTGGGTCAACTTTGGCGTGATATAACCCGTGATCCGTTGAGAGTTAGCTGTTGATTTCTAAATAAAAGTTGTAGCCCTACTATAGCTCTACAACTTTCATGTTAATTGTTTCTCTAACTCGTCATGGTTTGGGAGATCATCATCTTTGAAATTAAGCTTGTCGGGCCGGGCCTGTCGAAAACCGAAATGAACGTTCAGACTACGCTTCTGATGACCGACCGGCGTCGGACCGTCGCCGCCACAGTGTCACGCCAGCTTTCGGCTCGTGATCTGACCGCACTGCAGCTGGCCGCCTTTGAAGTGGAGCATGCCCGCACGCCCTCATCCTCCCATTCACTCTCTTTTCTCCTCCTTCGCCTTCCATCATGAAAAGAAAGAATCGACCGGCAGCTCCGCCATTGCTCCGTCGTGCTCGCGTCGCTGCTCATGGGTCACCACCGCCAGACTAGCTTCCATCTAGAGCTCCGCCGTGCCCTCCTCTCACTCGTTGGCCTTCTATCCGCGACATCCGAGCCCTAGGTGAGAGCCATTGGCCGTTTTTAGATCTTGCGTCGCCATGGCCGTACCTCGCCGGACTAGCTTCGTCGTGGCGGCCGCCTCCGCTTCCCTTCCTGCCTCTTCTAGTGCATGCATGGGGACCCTTAGGATCCGTGGTGTCTACCTCGTGAGCGTGGTCATTGGATTCACCGCCGTTGAGCCGAACACGGCGCCACAGCGCGCGCAATGCGCCATGGCCGAGCCGCCGAGCTCCATGGCCGCGCACTCTAGAGACCGGTGGGGTTTAGGGTTAGGATATCAATCGACGCGTGCGTGAGGTTGAGGAGGTCACGTAGGTGCCGTCATCGTCGCCGGAGAAGCCGCCAAATCGGCGAAGCTCCGCCGGATTTCCGTCATCGCGAGCCACGCCCCTGTTTGGTCTCGTGACATGCGGGCCCTGCTTGTCGGTCACGACGCAGCAGCAGTGAGAGCTAACTTAATGAGCCGCATCTTGGGCAGCGCATTGTACAGTATTAAATGGGCCGCCGTTTCCTTGGGCCCAACTTGAACAATGACCGTGATTTATTTTCTTATTTTGTTTGCTTTATTATTTCACCGAATTGTGTTTGTTATTCAAAATATGTAGCTCCTAGTATATAGATCCAAATGATGTGGTTCTAATTTTGTTAGGTTCCTGGTCATGTCTAGTATTTAACAAAAATATTATATGAGCACATGTTTTAGAAATTTTTGATGAATTAATTAGGACTTGGAAATGTGTTTTTGGATACATGTAAACTTGTTTGAATTTTATCTTGAGTTGCTGTGGTCCAAAAATTATGAAATTTTGTGGGCAGTCTGTTATTGCTTATTAGAAGCTCTGGTAAAAATTTTAGAGCTAGTGCATGTGTAGTTTTTAAGGTATAGAATTTCCTTTTATTAATAGGTGGATCTAGTGTGAATTTTCATAATTTTTCTATAGATCCAGTGAAGGTGAAATTTTATGGGTGCTATTCTTATGCTAGAAGGATGCTAGGAAAAATGGGAAATCTGTTGCTTGACACTTTTTAATAAGGTTTCCTAATTATGCTAGAAATAGACATGGCATCTGTTATTTTGGATACAGCAAGTTATGTTGGTCCAATGGCTTTGAAATTTTTATGGTAGTCTATGTGCAGCATGAGATAGCTACTGTAATTTTCGTAGATTTTTATGAATAGTTTTACTATATATTGCTTAAATCACCTAATTAACTAAATAAATTGGAAAAGGATATTAAATAGTTTATTTAGAAGTTAGCACTATACTTTCTGATGTTTCTTAGGTATGAAAAACAAGTTGGTAAACTTGGTTTGGTCAAATTAGGCTTTTGCACCATCATTAAATAATTAAGTTAGCAACCCTGTCATTGCGGGACAGATTCTAGGTCTACTGGAATCTGATTTGGGTAACTTCAGAATCATGCCTTGATGTTTGCAAATGAATTGTAGAGAATTTCATAAGCTTTCCAGAATGTCCTCTTGCAAGTCATTTGGATTTATAAAACTCTGGTTATGATAGAATTAAGTTACTACTTGTTACATATGAAGCTTTAACTGTTATATTAAGTATGTCTTTACTATTCTAAGTTCATGGTACTGTTCCTAGGTGTTAGTCCTTTAACTGAAGATGAGCATCTTTATCTTAGGTTATGCAAGTTAGGTAAGTTGCTCTTGTTATTTAAGTTAAGTTGGATACATACTTAAAGTGATTTGAATAGAGCTAATTACTCGGTGGTGAACGAAAGTGTCCAAAGATGTTTTTATAAACACCCATTGTGATTCATTCATCATGAGCATCATGTCATTCCTTATGCATCCATGATATTTATATTGTGCATCGGCATGCAATAGGTGTACGGAAGGAGTAACCTTGCTTGGAATTGAGGAACCGAGCGAAAGCAAGACAATTTGACGCCGAGATTCGGGAGGAGCGACCTTGGAGAAGTGCCGAGACGAGGTCGCCGTTGAGTGCCACGACCACCGTCCTTGCAACTTTGTGAAAAGGCAAGCCCGGAGCATATTAAGCCTCCTATTTTCCGAACTGCGATTCTGATATTATTATTACATATATTGTTGCATTAAGTTTAGGTGTTGGATGCAAACACTTGCTTGCATTGGTTACCCATTCCTTGTCCGAGATATTGTTACCACAATCCTATGTAGCTCGAGGCTCGAGTAGTGCTTAGCCACGCTTAAACGCGTAGAAAGTCGGGTGATTTCTGTCACCTCGAGATATAGGAAGATACATGTGTACGGTTGGCTATATTTGCTATCGTGGAAAAGAACCAGTCTTAATTTGAAATGAAGACCGGACGGAGGCTTACCGGGTTTGCGGTGACTCCGTGCAGTCGCTTAAGGACCCATTCTTGGAGCCTTTCCTGTTCATGTTGAACGCATGCCTCTCTCTTAGTTGGCCGTGTTCGATGACCGACCACGGGCCGTAGTAGCTCACCTCGGTAGGAGTCGATAAGTATAAAGTGCGCCTCGGAAGGGAGCCATAGGCGTGAGTCCAAGGGCGGTGATTTAAAAGTTCGATCATCTGGCGGAAGGGTAATCCACGAGAGTCTTTGTTTGATCGAACCCGCAATTTGGTTCTGAGATGTTCCAAAGGTGACCCACGGCTACCCTTGCAAAGTATGCGGGGTGAGAGTTAGGAATACCCCTCACCTGAGTTGTAATTCGATTCGAGTCGCCGTCTCTCCCGTAAGTGAGAACTTGACGGGCTTATCTCCAATGTAGATACACTTAATAACTTAATGGTTCGAAATGATGATATGATGATGACAACCTTATTATACCTGCTATGGTTAATATTGTTTGCTCCTAATAAGTGAGTGCTCTAGTACAGGTG